GGTATCTACCTGCATCTCCAACCCTCGAATCTTTTCTTCCAGTAACTGTATTAGGCGGCACTTCATACAAACATACCTCTGTTCAGGCTCACCCGCTAGCACCATATACATACCACAGCTTCCACATGCAATCATCTGCATTCTGTCCCCTGCTGTTTGGCTCATGGCTGCTGCAATCTCTGCCCACAGCACCTGGGGACACAGAGCACACAAGACACCGCGCCCTCCTGCCTCCCCTTCCACCTCCCCCTGCAAACTCCCACTCAAACTCCCCTGTTAGCAGCCCTGTTTCCTGCCTCCTGTGCCGCTGCTCGCAGGATTTCTTGAGTTGAGGATTTCTTGTAGAAAATGCCCTGCCATCGGGCTCCTGCTTATTTGAAACAATGGACCTATAGCTTGAATAGTCTGCTGTTCCCAACTCTGCTAATACACCTCTACCCCAATATAACGTGACCCAATATAACATGAATTCAGATATAACACGGTAAAACAGCGCTCTGGGGAGGCGGGGCTGCATGCTCCGGCGGATCAAAGCAAGTTCAATATAACATAATTTCACCTATAACGCGGTAAGATTTTTTTGGCTCCTGAGGACAGCGTTCTATCAGGGTAGAGGTGTATTACATTAAAGGAGAGGCAAACCCTCAGCGTCCCCATTAATTTAGGGCTCTAGAGATGGAAATTTAGTTTCTAGACAGAGTTCAAGAGGCTATTGGAAGTTAATGAAAGCAGAGTACCTGTGTTGTGTGATTCCGGTATGACTCATTGCTCAGCAGATGTGAGGCTGACTTTTGCAGTGACTGGAGATTCTGACAAGTATCAGGGGGGTAGCCGTGTTAGTCTGTATCTCCAAAAACAAAAAGGAGTCTGGTGGCTCCTTAAAGACTAACAGATTTATTTGGGCATAAGCTTTCATGGGTAAAAACCTCATTTCTTCAGATGTACAGATTTATTTGGGCATAGCTATACATCTGAAGAAATGAGGTTTTTACCCACGAAAGCTTATGCCCAAATAAATCTTAGTCTTTAAGGTGCCACCAGACTCCTTGTTGTTTTTTGGAGATTCTGAGTGGTTCCAATCCACTCTTTTTGAAATTGGAGTCAGCTGTTCACCACTCAAATTGCACAAGACTAGCATGATGATGGTGAGTTTGAGGAAGAATCTGGAAGAGTTAGTGAGGGAAACATCTGCAGCCCTGCTTAAGATAACATGGCTACCATTTATGAGGCAGGTTTGTGTTCTTGGAGTTTTATTAGATTCTGATGTTGGAAGATCTAGTAACTATAGCCAAAAAGATGTTTTGCATCTGTCTGGGGCCAAAGGAGCACAGCTTTTCTTTTTAGCTGCAGACATACCATCAATGGGATCCTGGTCCATGAATAGGGCTCCTAGGCACTACAATAATACAAATGAATAATAATAACATGCCTCTGTCACCTCAAGATTAATTTACTGTAATCTCTAGTTGGGACTGCATATTATTCACAGTACTGGATCAGCTGGTCCAGATGTGTTGGAAACACAGAGTTAAGTACAGGCAAATGTACTGAATATGCTGCAGCTTACCAACTTCTTATGGCCTCAAACATGTTGAACAAGAAGAGTGACGAAACAGATCTCAGACTATTTCACATGAAAGTTATCACGTCAGAAGAGAAATTGCCCCAAACCACCATCTGGTGAGCAATGAACAGAGCCTCTCTAACAATTGTGTCAGTATCAAAGGGGTAGCCGTGTTAGTCTGGATCTGTAAAAGCAGCAAAGAGTCCTGTGGCACCTTATAGACTAACAGATGTATTGGAGCATGAGCTTTCGTAGGTAAATACCCACTTCTTCGGATGCATGTTGACATCTAACAATTGTGTATCCCTTAAATAAGCAATGGTATCAGAGGCAGTTGATAGCCTATAAAATCAGCGCAGACAATTCATTGTCCACCATTGTAAAGTGAAGCTCCGTAATCAGTATTGCTTGTTGCTCAAACCCAAGTCTAAAGTCCAAATGAATGGGATTCAGGAAAGATTAAATCTGTAGAACCTGTCATGGGTCCTGCCACAATCCTCTCAATAAACTTTCCCAAAACTGGAAGATGATGTGCAATAGACCCAGTACTACTTCTCTGACCTTCACTCTCCAAGAAGTTGTCTCCAACTTGCAGAGCACCTTTACCACCTTCAGAAGGGCTCAGTGTTGCCTACTCTTTTGATTCTTGTGATATTTCGTGGTTGTCTTAAAGCCCCATCTCCTAGAGTCATGTGATTAAGTGAGACTCTCTTCTTTCTTTCTCTCTCTCTCTCTCTCTTCTTTTTAAGTTTAAAAAAAAGGGGGGGGTTAGCCATCATGATTGCCAAGAAAAAAACTGAAAATGTGAACTTCAAAGTCTCAAAAATTAGAAGATAAATTGTGACTGGGTGCCTGGTATGGGCCGCACTGAAAATGCCATGCTCAGTACAGTCTGTAGGAAATAGGACAGACAATCCCCAAAGCTCTTGGTTTAATCTATAATTAGATTCACCAAGCCAGTAACAAAAGAGCTTCTGCAGTAACTACTGGTTAACCAGAAGCCAAATGCAGTCCCCTGTACAGGTTTAATAATAAAAGAAAGGGGCAGTTATAAATGGTTAATAGATCATACACATACACATGATTGCAAAGTCCTTATATCAGGTTTGTAGCAGTGATAGAATAGCTTGCTGGCTTGTAAAGTTTCTCTGGTAACTTCCAAAAGATTGTAAGGTTCTCCGTCCATAGTTCAAGATGCTCCTTTTAGTTGTAAATCCACAGTCCAGAGAATCAGAACAGGAAACAGGCAAATTAGAGATGTCTCAGGTGCCTTTTTATATCCTCTGCCATGTGCATGGAAGCTTACTGTTCTAAACAAAGTCCACAGCCCCTGTTTGTAGAAAGTTACTGGCCCAACGTGGAGTCCAGGGTCACAGGAGCATCTCATATATCCTTACATGATTTGCTGAATCACAGGAGGGTGGCCATTGGCTCCTCAGGAAGAGCTACCTGGACGGGGTAAGCAGTGATGTAAATTCTACCTGGCAGGTGTCACCCACAAATGCAACACGTGTAAGATATAAGTACATAGCCAATATTCATAATTTCTGATACAATGATGATACATGCATATAAATAGGATAATCATACTTCAAATCATAACCTTTCCATTGATACCTTACATGATACACTTTGTATAAGATTTATGGAAATCGTGTAACGGTGGTAAGTGATATAAATGATCACCTTTCTTGTACACAGCATCACAAAACCTCACAATCCCATAACAAAAAAAAATCTCAGAACTTTTTTTTTTTTTTTATTCATGATTTCAAAGCCAATGCCATGATTTTGGTGCGAGAGGCTCACTCATGATTTTTAACTGTTTGGGGCTCGCAATATCAGAGAGTGAGTCTGGATGAAACACGAGCCGTAAAGAACTAGCAATTGTCCCCTCCAGCCATTGCTCTGTTTTCATGCAGGTATACAAGTTATTCTGAATCTGAGTACCTTTATCCTCAATGTAACATGAGAACTCTACTTTGTAACTGACTGGAGGCAGCATGGGTCCAGCAAGCTGTCTTGTGGGCTGCTCTGGAAGTGAAGAAGCATTTTGTTATACCATGCAGCCTAAAGTTCTGACTAAAAATTCCATGTGCTGTAATGCCCCGTCGTCTTCCACCAGTGCTCTGGCAGTTTCCAATTTTGCTTTATCATTTGCAGGTCATCTCTAAACCACTGTACTGCATGTGTTACTATGTTTTTGTAAAATGATCTGTAAAAAGTACTAAGCATTAATACTGAAATCTGGAAGCACTAATAGTGTCTTTTTGAAGTATTATATTATGGCTGGTGTTGGGAAGAGAAGGCAGTAAGAACTGCCGGGTTCTCTGACTCAGCTGTGATCTCTGATCCTTCTTCATATTCTTGTAAATATTTTAAAGCCATAAATAAACTCCAGTACATATTGCTTACTGAAGATTGATGTCCTGAAACCTAAATAACATCAGGTTTAAAATTGTATTCAATAGTAGCAGATACTTGAAGCTCTGAGTTCCATGAGCTATGGAAATGAGGTTTTTTTTGTTTTTTTTTTAATTCCTAATTCTCATCTCGAAATAGTCTGGAAAAATGTACTGGTCCTGAAAGCGTTTGTACTAGCCCCCAAATGGTACTAGCCCTGACCAGTCGCAAGGACCTGCTCTTGTTTGCCAACCGGTCCAAAATTGAATACAACTGTTCTGCACTAGAATTTCCAACCTGTTTTCGTTAAACATTGAGACCTTTCTTTTCTTTTTATTTTTTTTTAATTTTAAAATGGATTGTCTTGCATCAAGAGTATTACAAAGAGGCTGTGGGTCTTGCTAACACTTTAAAACATGGAGTTTGCTTACATTAAAAAAGCTGTTCGCTTTTTTCTCCTAAAACAAGTATATATTTTTATAAAATTCTTAAGGTGGCTAACACAAAATCAGTTACAGGCCTGTCGCATCTTACGCGCATTTAACATGCGCGATTTCAGCTTTTTGCGGTTGGCAAAAACAAAACAAAAAAGAGGAAAATAACAATTTTAATACTGTACCCGTAGTGCGGGCGATTCCGCCCACCATTACACTCAATGTAATTTTGACTATACACGATTTTCGCTTTACGCGCTGACTGCGGAACGTAACCCCAGCATAAGATGAGACAGATCTGTACTCCGCTTACATTTAATTTTGCTAGCTAGAGCTACTGCAAATGTTTTTCTCCGTTTGGGAAAAAAAATGTATTTTAAAAAAGTAGTTTTGAACAAACACATACATTGAGCTAAGCTATTATTCAGTGTATATTCTAATTCCTTATTACCACTTATAAAATAGCCTAAATTCTGTTTTAAGAGTCTAGTCCAGCAAATTGTTTATCAAGGGAACTATTATAAGGGAATGTTTATCAGAGCATTTGCAAAGTATGCAGAAAATAACTGAGTACACCAAACCTTTCAATTTGTTCCCAGAGCTCAGATGCCTGTACTGCTGTGAACTGGAAGAGCATTGTGAGTATTGATATGCAAATAAACACACAAAGCATTTAAAGGTTTATAATAGGGAGAGAGTGGGAGGATGGAGGAGATTACAAATGCTTAGAAAATGCCAGAACATTTCTAAAATTCTAACTATCGCTTTTAGCTTAATGTTTTATTATATACTCTTGGGAATTAAACTGTATATATTTTAAAATCGAATATCTATTCATGCAGTACTAGTTTATTAGAGATGCATCTCTATTCTGGGGCCAGCAAAGTTTTCAGATAAGAGTTTATAATTGCCTATTTCTGGAGTCTTCTAAATAAGGATTTTAAAATGTAGAAACTTTATTGGTCTATAGTGCCCTATATGCTTTTTCTTCAGGTTTTGCAGATGTGGATCACTGACCTACATAACCAATAAGAGATTGTGATTGATGTTGGGATAGGGTTGTAACAATAATACCTGGAAATATAGTAGTTTGTGGCTACAGTGAGAAAGGGCGGGGGGGGGAGGTCCTGTCATGTGCAAGGATGTTTTAGTCAAGTTAATTATCAATTTAACAAAAGTCTTTTAAATGTCGAGGGCTGATTTTCATATTAATTTCAAACATTTTGGAAAACGCATTCTTTTTAAGGTGTTGTGTGGTGGTGGTAGGTTTTTTGTTCCATTTTTTTGCTAGTAGGGGGAGTGAGAGGGGGAAGAAGGTTAAAATATGAGTGGTGGTGGGTAATGCACCATTTTATCTTGATGGCATCACTGTTAGCCTCTTATTCCCTAGCAGCAAGCTGTAGTGCATCTGGTGCAGACACTCTATGGCAACCGGGTGAGAGTTCTCTCCTAATTTGCAATATTTGATATAAATCAATTTGGATTTTTTAAAAGGCACACCGAATATTTTCTGCAGTTGTAGGTTTTTGCAGGCTAGGAAAAACTTGTTGTCTGGCAGCCTGAAGCCAAAGTAAAATTTATTGTTTGCTAGAAATATACTTGGGGCTTAACGGATAGGTAAAACTCAGGGTCATTGCCCCGAAGAGATCCCATGTTACATTGACAAAATGTGACAAGTGATGATTACAAAATTTAGAAGGAATGGAAGATGAATGAAGGAGATCATATAGTATTTTATTCAGTGATGCATGCAGTAGAGAGATTCCAGATTTATTATATTTTTTTCAGTTAGGGATCATTGTTAAGAGAGAGGGACTAGGATTTGTAAAACTTCATAAAGTATGTTTTGAGGAGGAACTCAAAGAAAGAGAATGGGAGGCATGGTGAAGCAGGCCAGGAGGATGGTGGTATTTGTAGGTGGCTATACAGAAGACAGGCAAGAGATTAAAGGGATACAGTTGATTTGAAATCTAGTCAGTAGTTTCAGGTACTTCGCTTACCTTTGAGGCTTTACAATCACATTTTCTTATTTTTTTTTCCAAAATGTTTCCCTGTTACTTGTATGAAAACCAACACAATAATAGGCTGACTGACAAGTACTGTCAAACAGAAAAACCCTCTAATCATTGTAATTTTACTTGGAACAATACTAGCCTGGTTTTTTTTAATGCAAAAATGAAATTGGGTGGTTATCCCACCAATCTCTAACTGCCAGTTGGTCAAACTTCAGACCTGCATTTCAGAATTACCCAGTTTGTGGTTAGTGTGGCCTGGTGGTATGGTACTGGACTGGGAATCAGGAGAGCTAGGTTTTGTTCCCAGCTCTGCCACTGCTCTCCTGTGTGACCTTAGGTAAGTCACTTCACTGCTCTATGCCTCCATTTCCCCTTATACCCTGTGATTATCTAGATAGTCCCTGCCCCACATAGTTTGCTGTCTCTTACTTTGGTGTATATAGTGCCTAGAGCAGGGATCGGCAGTGTTTGGCATGTGGCTGTCCAGGGTAAGCCCCCCGGTGGGCTGGGCCGGTTTGTTTACCTGTCGTGTTCGCAGGTTCGGCCGATCGCGGCTCCCACTGGTCGCGGTTCGCCGCTCCAAGCCAATGGGGGCTGCGGGAAGCGCTGGCCACTACAATGTGATTGTAAAGCCTCAAAGGTAAGCGAAGTACCTGAAACTACTGACTAGATTTCAAATCAACT